CACTCAGGGATCACTCCTGGAGGGGCTTGGGGGACGATACGGGGTGCTGGGGATCAAAGCTGGTCCAGCCATGTACAGAGCAAGCACCCTTCCCACTGTGCTATCTCTCTGGCTCCATGTTTTATTATTTATTTTCTTTGGTTTGGGGTTACATCCAGAGGAGCTCATGGCCTACTCCTGGCTCAGCAGTCAGGGATCACTCCTGGTGGTGCTCAGGGGGCAATGTGCAGTGTCTTGGATTCAGTCCAAGTCAGCTGCACATAAGGCAAGTGCAGTAGTATCTCGCTGGCCCTCTCCTTATTTTCCCTTTTTATCCTCTTCCTCCTCTCCCTTCCCTTCCTGCCTTTATTGTCATAACCGACAGCATGTGCCTGCTGGTGGTCCTCACCAAGGACGTTTGTTCTCCTCTAGCTGTGGCTCTCAGTACCTGTGTTCCCCGGGGGTCCCACCTTTAGCTGAAGTAACACATTCTGATTGTCGTGCCCTCAGGGTTCGGTCTGCATAGGTATCATTCTGAACATTTTGGAGCTCCATGTATGCAAAGAGACTCAGTAAGAAGGGTTTGAGGGAGGAGTTGGGGAGAGCTCTAAGGGCTGGAGTGGCTGCCAGGAGACTTGTGGAGGAGACCCAGGTTCACTCATGTGGTCCCTCCACTGCCCAGCACCCCAAAATAAGAAAATAGAAATAAACAGAGGGGCCAGGGATTAGACAATGCATAGCTCCTGCCACAGGCTTGGAGTGGCGGTCAGCTCTGCAACCGGGACCCGCCTTTACCTGTCTCACCCACCGCAAAATGAGGTTCTTTTGCACACCCCTGTGGGAGTACCACAATTAAAGCAACCAGACCCCTTGAAGCGTCACCAAGAACAAGTGTGTGCACATCATAACCAATGGGTAATCTCTAGAGAGCCCAGACCCAAAACATGTTTGTGCACCCAAGCCAACCATGTGTTCAGATACTCCACTCAGCCTGTCTCCTCTTCAAATCAACTAAGAGGGAATGGGGCCGGGTGTGTGTGTGTGTGGGGGGGGGGGGTGTTGAGGAGACACACCTAACAATGTCCTGGCTCTGTGCTCAAGGGCTCATGCAGTGCCAAGGATCAAACCCTGGGTCTCCTGCATACAAAGCCTGCCCTCTTGCCTGTTGAGCTATAAAAATGCTCTGGAAGTTCCAAAGGGTAGACTTTGTAAGCACATTTTGATTTAATTCCTTCCCTGTTACTATTAGTGTATTGATTCCTCTCAACCCCAATCTAATCTATACTGAGTCGTATTGGCTCTGCTTCCAAAATTGATCTTAGATCTGACAGCTTGTCACAACCAGCTTCAAGTCCAAACTCCTTACCATGAGCTACAAGGCTCTCAGGTGTTCCAGCCCAGCCTATCTTCTCTCTCACCGCATAGCCTTCTTTCTCCCCTGGGACATGGCTTCTCCCATGCTTTTGCAATTGTTTTTCCTTGACTAGAGCACTCTTCCACCCAGGCTGTCAATTGCCTGACTCCTGAGCATTCAGGTTTTGATTTAAATGTAAACTTTTTTCAAGAGTCGTGTGAACCCCTTACTCTATCACAGAAATTAGCTTCTTTAATTAAAAAAAAAAAATTTTTTTTTTTTGCTACATGATCCTCAAACATAATCCACACAGCCTGGAAAAGTGCCTTGCACAAAAAAAAAAAAAACCTTGTTGAAAAAAATTGTTGAGGTGGGAGGTCACAATGGGTAATGCTCAGGGGTTACTTCTGGCAATGCTCTAGGGACCACGTGGGATTCCAGGGATAGAATCCTCATTGGCCAAGAGTAAGGCAAGCACCTTAAGTCTTCAGTTCCTAGCTCTTGTAAAATATATGTATTTTGATTTGGGGGTCCTGGCTCTGTGCTCAGGAATCACTCCTGGTGGTGTTTGGGGGATCGTTAGGGATGCTGGGGACTGAACCCAAGTTGGTCCAGAGCAAGGCAAATGCCCTACCTGCTGTACTATCTTTCTGGCCCATCTTGTGAAATATTTTAACTAATAAATTAATCTCTAGCATGTATTTTTTTTTGAGGTGTCTAGGATGAAACCCTAGGTGTCGAGGATGGAGCCTCACACACTCACATTTAAGCAAGGCAAGTGCTAAGTCCTTAGCCCATTCTTAGTGGCTTTTTTGTTTTGTTTTTTTGGTGGGGGGTAGGCTGGGGCCACTTTGGGCCGTGCTCAGGGCTTATTTTCTCGCTCAATTCTTTTAAGTCTGTTTTCTTAGGAAAGGAAAATATAACTCAGGTAATAATGTCAATCTTGTTGGTAGTTTCAAGTCTCAGGAATGTGCATAAAAGTACTAAGGACATCAGGAAATTGCCACATTGTAAATCTTCGCCATTGCCCCTGTTCAGTTCCATCAGATGAGCTGATTGACACCCTCTTTCGCTCTCAGGTAAAAAGAGCTATGTGTATCGGGGCCCAGGAAGAAGTGGTCCCACCGCACAGCGGCATCATCGCCCTTTTAAGAAGCGTGGAACCCAGCCGTCCCACCCCGATGTTTAAAGTACCGAAGTTAGTGCGAGTCACGTGAAGTCCTCGGCCGTGCCCCGCCTCGAGGGGGCGGGGCCTCAGGTGGAAAACCAATGGCAGGCGCAGTCTCCGCGGCACCCGGCACCAGATAGGGAAAAGGGGAGGAGCCTCGCGCCTCGGCCACTGTAGCGGCGCTTCCGGACGCCGAGCCCCGCCCCTCCCCCGTCCGCTGATTTTCCCCGGCGCCGGGTGGGCCGGACGAGCGGGTGCAGATTAAAGGCGCCGCTTTGGCCCTGCCGCTTTCTCCTCGCCACCCCCTCCCCGTTTCCCCGCCCCTTTCCGAGTAGCGGGACCGGCCTTGATGTAGACACCGCCCTCCGCCCCTCTCGGCCGGGGCTCGCGAGTCCGGCTCACCGCAGTGCCCCGGCCGCCCCGCGCTGTCCTCCGAGCCCATTGTATCCCCGCCCTGTCCGCCCGCCTCCCGCAGCCGAGCCGAGGTCCGGCGCTGGCGGGAAGAGCGGGGACCCCTTAGCGCCCCGAGAGCCGGTGCATCCCCTTCCTTCCCCGCCCGCCCTCCTCGCAGCTTCGCGGTAGGGACGAGAGACGCCCCGTGCTTCGCTCTCGGCCGAGGCGCACGACCCCGGCCCCCAGCGGCGAACCCCAGACCCGCGTCCCCTGTTGAGGGTCTTTTTTTTTTTTTAAGGAGGGTTAGGAGTGCCCGAGTCCGAGCGAGGAAAAAAAAAAAAGGACTTCCCGGCCCGCGGGGTCATTTTTATTCTCGGGATTATTATTAAAAAGGGGGCGGGGACCCCAGGATGCGGAGGAGGGGGCTGGAGAGACGCAGCTATTTTTATTAAACAAGATTATTCCTGAAATCCTAACACGCGCAAGATGGCTGAAGGTGGCTGGGAAGAGAGTGTTGGGGTTTTTTCTTTTCCTTCCTCTTTTTTTTCCTCCCCCCTGATCGAAGGATAAAGCTCTGAAGGCGACAAGGCGCTGCGGAGATCCCCCGCCCGCCCGAGCGCCCTCCCCCGGGGAGACGCCGCTGCGGGCGGACGAGCCGCGACCCACCGACCCGGCGTGGGCCCGCCCCGGACGCGTCGCCCGGGCAGCCGGGGCCGCTCCTCGCCGTCGGGCCGACTTCTTCTTCTTCCAATTCTCATCTTTTTTTTTTTTTGAAGGGGAAAAAATTTTTTTTTTTTTGGAAAGGACCGGGGTGGGTGGAGCAGAGGAGGAGGTGGAGGAGAGAGATCGGGACTTGGCGTTTTCTCTCTTAATCGGAGGGAGGACGCCAGCAGCCCTAAAAAAAAAAAAAAAAGGAAGGGAGGGGAGGAAGCCCACCACCGGAGGGGAGCGGGGCGGCAGGACCCCCCGAGCGAGCGGGAGAGCGAGCGAGCGCCCGCGGCAGCCCAAGATGGCTGGGCGCTGAGGGAGGCCGCGGGCCCCGCCGCCGCGGGCGGGCTCCCACCCGGCCCCGGGCGCCTCCCGGCCGGAGCCGAGGCCGAGAAGAAAAGAAAGTGGGGGGAGGGGGGAGGGGGCCGGGGCGGTGGAGGGGGAGGGCCCGGCGGGGGGAGGGGAAGCCGGGGAGCCGAGCCTCCCGTTCATTAGCAGTGGAGGAAAAAAAAATTCCTTTCTAGTTTGATCCATCCTTGTTTTTCCTCGGCCGAGCCCGGGCGCCCGCCCAGCGCGGACGCGGACGCGGACGCGGACGGGGGCGCGGGCACGGGCGCGGACGCGGCCGGAGGAGCGCGCGGGGGTCGGTGCCCGGCGCGGGGCGCGCGAGGAAGCGAGCGCGGGGGGTCAGGCCGGCCGGAGCCCCGCGGGGGGGCCGCTCCTCGTCCTCCTCGTCCCTCCCCTCTCGGGGGGTTGGCTCTCTCGCTCGCTCTTTTTTTTCCCCTTCCACTTCTCTCCCTCCCCCTTCCGTTTCTATTTGTGAAGGGAGGAGGAAGGCAGAGGCGGGCTGGGTGTCTCTGGCCGGGGACTGGAATTTCAGCTGAATGACTGCCCCTGCGCGCACGCAGCGCCCCGGAGTCGTCGCCGCCGCCCGCCCGCCCGCCCGCGCCCCGCAGCCTTCGCCCGCGGCCCGGGGGCGCCCGCGCCGGGCCCCGGACCCCGCCGCCTAGCCGCGCGCGCGCGTGCCCGCCCGCCCGCCCCGGCCTCTCGGACCCCCGAGCCCGGCGCGCCCCCGGACGCTCGAGCCGGCGGCGGCGCGGGAAGGGAGGAAGGAAGCGTGCGGCGGCGGCGCGGGGCGCGTCCCCATGTCAGCCGCGGGGCCGGGCGCAGGCCGCCGCGGGCCGCCGCTGCCCTAGCCGCGCGCCGGCGACGGGGAGGCGGGCTCGTCTATGGAATTTGGACCCCGGCGCTCCCCTCCAGGGCCGGTGCCCCGGCCGCGGCGGCCCGGGCGCAGTCCGCCGCCTCCCGCTAGGCGCCCGCCGGGAGCAGGCGACGCGTGAGGACCCCGGCTCCCCGCCGCGGGGGGCGGCCGAGCGACGGTCGGGGGCCGGAGCGCGGGGCTCCGCGGGCCCCCCCAGCTCCCGCTCCCGACGGAGCCCCGCGCCTGGGGCGTCGGGGAGGCCGCCGGCCCGGGCCCCCTGCCCGCGGCCGCCATGGCGGAGAATTGGAAGAACTGCTTCGAGGAGGAGCTCATCTGCCCCATCTGCCTGCACGTCTTCGTGGAGCCCGTGCAACTGCCGTGCAAGCACAACTTCTGCCGGGGCTGCATCGGCGAGGCGTGGGCCAAGGACAGCGGCCTGGTGCGCTGCCCGGAGTGCAACCAGGCCTACAACCAGAAGCCGGGCCTGGAGAAGAACCTGAAGCTCACCAACATCGTGGAGAAGTTCAACGCCCTGCACGTGGAGAAGCCGCCGGCGGCGCTGCACTGCGTGTTCTGCCGCCGCGGCCCCCCGCTGCCCGCGCAGAAGGTCTGCCTGCGCTGCGAGGCGCCCTGCTGCCAGTCCCACGTGCAGACGCACCTGCAGCAGCCCTCCACCGCCCGCGGGCACCTCCTGGTGGAGGCGGACGACGTGCGGGCCTGGAGCTGCCCGCAGCACAACGCCTACCGCCTCTACCACTGCGAGGCCGAGCAGGTGGCCGTGTGCCAGTACTGCTGCTACTACAGCGGGGCGCATCAGGGACACTCCGTGTGCGACGTGGAGATCCGCAGGAATGAGATCCGGGCAAGTACCCTGCACGCGCGCCCGCTCCACGCACCCGCGGCCCCGCGCCCGGGCGTGGTGGGGGGGGGAGAACCTCCCTGCCCCGCTCTGGGCGCTTCAGCCCTCCAACTCTTCCACTCTGAAAGTTAGGGGAGGACGAGGGCCGGGTCCTGGGGAAGAAGGGTTCCACCCTCTGGCGACTGGACCCGTTCCTGCACCTGTATTTATGAGGGTCCATCTTGGGAGTCATTGATAGCACGGAGGTGCGGGGCCCTGCCTGGCAGAGTCTGGGTGCTGCTCCCTCGCTCTTCTCTTGGGCCCTCAGCTCCTTCCCCCTCGATTTGTGTGTCTGTGTGTGTTGTTTCCGTGGGCCCAATGGGAAGTCACCAAGGCAGTGACCCAGGTCCTGCTTCTCCAGCTGCTGTTTATGTAATGAGTGTCCTGATGCCTCGGCTGTGGCTGACATGATCCATGATGCTGGCATACCAATGAGGAAGTAAACAAAAGCAGCCATGTTAGTTTCCAGCCCTATTGGAAACACATGGGGGGGCCGAGAGGTGCTTCCGGAGGGCGAGCAGAACCCTGGGTATCTCCCCGCACGAGGCCCGGGACTGCTACTGGTCTGCACCCGGGGGCCCAGGCATCAGGAGCTTTCCTTGCGCGCCTGTGCGTCTCGCCGCCTCCTGCGTGGTGTTGCCTGTGTCTGCTGTGAAAGAGCCTTAAAGTCTGTGCCTTCCTCACCCTGAGCCCTTTTTTTTCTTTTTTTTTTTCCCCAGCCCAGCCCTTGATCACAGCCCTCCCACATTTGGGGAGGGGAAGTGGAAGACGGAAAAAGAATCCTGTGGGTTTAAGGTTGAGCTGCCTTGCAATCTGGTTTCAGGCAGCTGGCTCCCCTGGGCTGCCGGCTGGGTGATTACAGAACCGCATCCCCTCCCATTGTATACACCCTGCAGCAGCGGCCAATGTCAAAACCACCTTCCCCCTCGGGCCTCTGGGCCGGGCTTGGGAGCTGGACTGAGGCAATACTTCCGTCCTCTTTACTGGAGGGGGGTGGGGGGGTGCTCATAGGTCCCTCCCCGGTCCCCTGGCTTTCAGGGTTGAGTCATACCAGAGAGCAGAAAGAAGGGGTTGGCCTGAGACTGTCTGAGCCATCTCGGAAGCCCCAACATGGGGCCTGGGTGTGATATCATGAGGGTGAGGTTAGGCTTTGGTCTGCCTGGGAGTGTTTATGGGTGGGGACCCCCAGAGGCTAGTCGGGGCCAGTGGGGAGCTTGGGTATGAGGAAGCCCTGGGCAGGGGACAGTTGTAGATGGGGGTTGTTTCCTGTGTGTAGGGGGCGGGGGGAACAGGACCCAGTCAGAGTGAGTCATTGTTTAGCAATTAAAAAACATACACATGCAACTAACAAAAGGCAGGAGGGTCACCACAGGCTGAGGGCAGGGACGGCAAATAAAATTTGCTCTATAATTAGTTTCCAGTCGGATGGACGAGTCCTGGGATTCTGTGCCAGGACCTGGCCTCTGGTTTCTTGGAGGAGGTGGGAGGGATGGAGAGCCTTTCTCCCTCCCCCTCTGGGCGGGCAGACGCGGAGGCTCAGGGGCGGCTGAGGAGCCCCTGGCGCCCTCTGCCCCCCGCTCGGGCCGGGCCGGGCCCAGCCTTCCCCCGGTATTAGGAAGCCGCTGCTATTAATAAAAATAGAAGGGCTGGGGGAGGAGGTTGGGGAAAGTGCAGAGGCAGGAGAAAGGGCTGTCCGGTTTTCTGTCCCTGGTGCAGCAGTAGGAAGGGGGGGGGGCGCGAGAGAAGGAGCTGTAGCTAAAAGGATCCAGGCGGGGTGGGGGCAGTAACCTGGGTGTGAGTGTCTGTGTACCCACACCCATGGTTTTGCTCTTAGCCGTGTCTGAGTGCCAGGAGTCTCTTTAATTTGGGTGCGGGAGGAAGCATAATTGTACCTGATTTCGTCAGGGGAGGGTATCTTTAGGTGTGTGTCTGTGTTTGCGAGTGTCTGAGACTGTCTGCTTTGCCCTCGAGTGCACCTGTCTCCCGTCTGTATGGCTGCGGGATGGGGTGGGTGGCACAGACGCTTGGTGTATTACCTGGGGTTGCCACCAGCATGTCGCCGATCCCTTCCTCGTGGAAGGAACCGGGTGGGAGCCGTCACGGAACTTTGTCAGCAGCTGTGTGTGTGTGTGTGGCCTTGGTCTGTCTCTGCATATATGTGTGCGCCCTCGTTCCTCTTCCTGGTGTGGGCAGGCTCAGAAGTGGGGAGGGGTTGCATCAGGCCCAGATGTGCAATTCTGTGCACTCAGCATCTGTGCTCCGCAGCCTGAGTCCTCATCCCTCTCCCAGCTCCCCCCACCGGCTCCCCCACCGGGGCCCTCCTGCTTCTCTCTGGCGCCCCAGGGCACTGGCGTTGGAAACCCTTAAATAGCAAGTCCCCGCCAGGTTGAGACTTACTGTGAGGAAGAGTGCCCGCCCTGAGAGGAAGACCCCATCGCTAGGGCTTCAGCTGTGGGCGGCCAGGACGAGGGGCCTTTGGCTGGGCCTCTCCCCGCACTTGCCTCAGAGACCAGCTCTGCTTCTTGTGCTTTTGCTTAGGGACAGCAAGGTGGGGGGGGGGGGGCAGCCACTGAAGTGCCCTAGGGGCTAGAGACATGCTTTCCTCTGCCCCCCTACTGCATACTTGAAAATCCCCTTGGGTCTGGGCCACAGCTAGAGCTGAGCCCAGCAGGGAGGCCAGCATTCCCCCGGTCAGGCCTGCTCCTCGCCTGCCTACTCCACTCTGAGGCCAAGATGCCCACTGGATGGGACAGGTCCAGCCTAGATACTGAAAATCATTTTTTTTTGTTTGGTTTTGGTTTTTCGGTCTCACCGAGTGGGTGGTACTCAGGGGTTACTCCTGGCTCTGTGCTCGGGAATCACTCCTGGCAGTGCTCAAGGGACCATGTGGGATGCTGGGGGTTGCATGCGGGTGCAAAGCAAGCTCTCTGCCCGCTGTACTATAGCTCCAGGCCTTGAAAATCTTTCTCCCTGGAGGCGCCATTGGAGGCATTCAGGTGGGCCTGGGCTGGCAGGCCTACGTCGTCAGACCCTCACCAGACCCAGGGTCTTGGGGTTCCTTTGGGCAAGGGTGGGCACTGGTAGGAGCTAGAGCCTTCCCTCGCCCTGTCCAGCTGTGGTGAGGTATGTGCAGGCACAGGTCACCGTCACTTTTGTGCCTCGGGCTCTGGAGCAAGACTGGAAGTGCTCCTTACATTGTCAGAGGTTCAGCATTGAGGGAAATAATGTCCTCTGGGGAGGGATCCCACTGCTTGGGCCACCTTCCACGTCCAGCTGCAGAGGGAGATGGTGTCCTCCTCCTGCTGCCTGGCTCACAGGGGTGATTACACTGAGGTGAGATCTCCGCTCTCTGCTGGGTCTGTGTCCTGGTGGGCTGAGGGGGTGAGACTGTCCCGGCACCCCACTGTTCCCCGCCTCCCCGCATTCTTCCGAGGGCAGCGGGGTAGAAGCTGTGTGTGCAAGATGGGAGGGTCCTTCGCTCCATCCCGGCCTGGTGGAGACTGCACAGTGGGGCCCAGGCTGAGGCCCAGCTCACCCCCTCCCCCCCGCCACGTGCCCCCAGAATTCTGCTGACACAGCCGGGCGCCCATCACGCACGCTCTATTGATTGCCTGGCCACCGGCAGGTGTGTGTGTCCACTGACTGCGTACCTCATGCGCACACGAGGGATCTTTTTTTCTTTCTGGTTCTCAGGTATGTGCACGAAGGAGCAGTGCGAGTGACTGGGTCATGGAGTTGCTCTGCGTGGCTGTGGGGGCAGAGGTGTGAGGGCGCCTTCTTGCTCGCTGCACACCTGCACTGCCCACCCTTGGCCCTGGCAGGTGGGGGCGTGTAGTGACTTTCTCTTGCGGTGGGCACTGTTGGGAGACCAGGAACCAGGGGAGTCGCCTGGAGCTGGCCTGGGAGGTGGATACCCAGGCGCATCCTGCCTCTGTGCTGGGGGCGGGGTGGCAGAGCCCGGAAGGTGAGCCCGCCGGGGCCCCTGGCCTGGGCAGAGCAGGCTGGCTCGCCCTGGCTCTGGGAAAGCCTCCCTTGCCGGCTGGCCTGGCATTCAAACCCAGACAAAGGGGGGCCTTCTCTCTCGCCTCTTTGTTCCGCTGCCCCAGAGCGCTGCTCTCTGCACGCCTAGAGCTGATTCCACTCTGCAGCTGGGAAGCCCTCTCGGGGCTGCGGGGCTGCAGGGCGGCTCAGTCTGAGTCTGTGCTGGCCCCACGGTAGGCCATGACAGGGAATCGGGGCTTTCAGTTAGACAGGAATTGCTCGGGCCCGGGGAGAAAGGAGGCTGAGGAGTTCCTGGGACCAGGTCTGAGGCCAGGGGGCTGTGTGGGCTGTGACTGTGTGGGACGGGAGGGAGCAGCCCGCCCCCCCACCCCCACCCCAGTGCTGGCCTCATCAGGGCCTCAGCCCTGCCTCTGGACCGGTCTGTGGGGCCCTGTTTCCTCCTGACCTTGCTTCTCTTCAAGGTTGACTTGAGGGTTTCATTATTATTATTTATTAACTTTGATACGGCCCAGAGTCCCCAGAGCCTCCCCTATCTGCCCAGTCCAGTCTGGCACCCAAAATGCCAGCTGGGCCCGGCCGGTCAGGCTGCAGGGGGAAGTGGGGCTTTCCCGGGTGCGAGTGTCGGGGACCTAGAGTGCCCCATCTCTGGCTCGGCAGGTTTCCCATGTGGGAGACAGTGTCCCTCCTCCAGGCCTGCACAGGTTCAGGGGAGTGACGGCAGTGCAGGGCAGGGGGTTGTCTGTCGAGGGGGGAGACTGTGCGGTGCAGGTCTGGCAGCCTCTGCTGCCTTGGGCAACAGGTGTGAGGAAGCTTCAGGGCTGCAGGGATGGGCCTGGAGCACCTCCACGCCCAGAGTCCTCTGCTTTTCCCCTCGCAGGCTCGTCAGTTGGCACCAGGGATGGGACAAGAGGGGACAGATGCTGCCTGGGCCACAGTGCTGGGCGGAGCTGGACCTCACCTGCAGGAGGCTCCCTCAAGGGCCCCCACATTCCTGAGGGTGCCGCAGCCTCGGGGAGCAGGTTGTAAAGTGATTCTCGAACCCCGCCCTCAGAGCTCTTGCTCAGAATCAAACGGCGAAATCTGGGCCTAACTTCGCCCTGGGGTTTCCTGTGGGAGTGGGGCGTCCGCTGCTGTAGTTCGCCGGGGCTAGGTTGGAAAGGAGGCTTGCTGGCCACGGGGCGGGGCGCAGACCCCACTTCCTCTGCACCCCCTCTCCCAGCTGCTCTGCATCCTGCCCAGGTCAGAGTGAAGGGGATGAAGGAGAAGCGATGAAGGAGTGTGCAGGGACCAGCCCCTGCAAACTCCCCGGTCCCTGAGGGAGCCTGGGTTCCCCTCCTCTCCTGCTTCCTGGGTGTGGTGGGGTAGGATTGCCATCACTTGTTGGGTGGGTGTGGGTCCTCCTCTGGAGCCCCATGGCGTCCAAACTGGGGGGAAATTTGGTGCCAGCCTGGACTGGGCAGAATGGGGGAGGCAGTGGAGACTCTGGGCTGCATAAAAGTTAGTGAATGATAATAAAACCTGCGGGGGGCTGGAGTGATAGTACTGTGGGGAGGGTATTTGCCTTGCCGACCCAGGTTCGATCCCCGGCATCCCATATGGCCCCAGAATTGCCAGGAGTGGTTTCTGAGCACAGAGCCAGGAGTAAGCACTGAGCACCTCCAGGTGTGGCCCCCACAGAAAGAAGAAAGGGGAGGAGGGGGGACGGGAGGGAGGAGAGAGAAAAGACTACCTTTGCTAGACATGAGGGTCCACACCGCATGGGCCCCAGGCCTGTGGGCACCACCCTGCAGGCCTCTGAGGCTGAGGGATGACATTGGGGAGCTCCAGGGCAGGAATACTGCCCCCAGAGCTGTGAGAGAGGCCGAGCCCCACCCCCTCAGACTAGGCAGGAAGTAGCACCCTGAGCCTCTAGGGTGGGCTGGACCATCCCCATTTCGCACTGGGGAAACGGCTTAGAACTGGGGCTGCCTCTTTCCTGCGCCTCATCAGGGGCACAGCGGGCGCAGCCCTTGGTTTTGGCTGTGAGGAGTCAAGTAAGGAAACCTTGGCGCACAGGTGTGGGGTCCTGGGCCCTGAGGCAGGGAGGAGGCAGCCAGCAGGCACGAGTCTGGGCACCTGCTGTAGCCTACGAGGGGTCCTGTCCCCTCTGCATCCCGGCAGGCCTGGTGCGGCTGTGTGTGCATGGATCAGTGTCCGTGTCCGCTGCACTGCCCAGGTCACTCACAGGCCACCAGTGGGCAGGGCCGGACTCCCCTTGTGCTGACTCTGCAGCCCTGACCTCGGGAAGACCAGGGCAAGTCTTTGTCAGGTTTGGGGGGGCGGGGCACACTGGTGCTTGGGGGTTACTACCAGCTCTGGGTGGGTGGTGTCACTCCTGGCTGGTGATGAGGGAACCTGGTGCTGCTGGGCCTTCCCAGCCAAGCATGTGCCCCCAACGCTTTGAGCTGCATCCCTGGGCCCCCCAGGCTGGCTTTTGAGATCCTGCCTTGGGTCACTTAAAGGTTAACTTGTTGAAGGGGGTACCCCAGTTTTCCGCAGCAATTCTAAGCTGAGAAAACCTGGGCCACCCCACCAACAACTTGACCTTTAAGTCACCCCCACACCACCCTAGCTTTTGTTTCCACGGTAGCCACCCGTGCAGTGGAGTCTGATGGCCTCAGTTTCCCTACCTTGCCAGTGGGGAAGAGCAAAAGAGAAAGGCTGGGTGGCCGCAGCTTGACCGCAGAGACCACCTGGATGTGGGAGGGAGTCGGGCATGCGGTCAAGCCCGAGGGTCACCGGGTGGCCTCCCGCCAGGCAGAAGAGGAAGCGTTCCTGGTGGGGCCGGCTCTGCTCCGGCTGGGCTGCTGGGACTCCGCAGGTCTTCCTCGGTGCGCAGGAGCCCGGATTTACTCAGCGATCATGTTTCACGTCTGTAGGTGCTGGAGCTTTTGTGTGGCCGGCCTTGGAAGGGGGTGGAGAGGGTCAGTGGCCAAGCCTGGTTTTTAAGAGACCTTGAGTTGAGGAGGAGGTGGAGGAGGGCCGGGGCTCTCCAAGCATGAAGGCAGTCACTCCTCTGCCTGCATGGCGGGTCCATTTTCTATCCATGTGCTCAGCACAGCCATGGAGGAGGACCTGTCTGAGGCCTCAAAGCCTAAAAGAGCCACACGATTCTGAACCCGGCACACCACTCCACAGAAGCTGTGGCTATCCTGGTGGGGAGTGAGAACTCTCCCGAGCCCGGCCCAGCCCACCTTCATGAAGCCTTATATGGAGCTTATATGGAGCTGTTGGGTTGTTGGGTTTTCTGCCTTTGTTTGCTTGCATTTTTGTTCTTTGGTTTGGGCCACACCTTCCAGTGCTCGGGGATCACTCTTGGCAGGACTCAGGCACCTTCAGGGGTGCTGGGGATTGAACTGGGATCGGCTTGATGCGAGGCCAGTGCCCTCTCCTCTGTGCTGTCTCCTGCCGTTGAGCCTGTCGCCGTGGGCCTGTGCTGCTGAAGATCTGGTTCTGACAAACCTTTTGAATTAACCTGAGCTGCCGCGGCTCTACACTGCACGGCCAGGCTAGGCTGCCCACATTCAGTGGGGCCCGCAGGCGTGGCAGTGGGCTTGTAAGCTGCTGCCCTGCTCGGGAGTTTGCAAGGAGGGAATTCCTGTGAGTTCTGAGGCCTGGCCGCTTCACCAGCTCTGCTGTCTGAGCTGCATCGTCCTGCAGGCTGGGGAAGAGCAGCTGATGTCCATCCCTCCCTCAGATTGGTCGTTGGGGAGCCGGTCTCCTGTTCATCTGACGGGCTGTGTACCAAGACCAAGGGATGGGGTAGCTGGGCGAAGGCCGCGAGGGTGAGGGAAGTGTTGGTGGTCTCCCTCTGGTCCACGTGACTTTAGTAGGGTGACCCTCTGCGTCGGACAGTATCACCTGGAAGGTGGGCACCCCAGGGAGCATAGCTTGCCCCCACCCCTCCAGAAGAGACCATCCTGCTGCCAGAGGACTGACTGGGTTTCAAGATATCCCAGCTCTGTCCCTTACCAGCCAGGGACTCTCGGGCCCTTGGTTTCCTGCCCTCTGAAAGGAGGGTGATGGTACCTCGTGCGTCACAGCCACGCAGGGAAACAAAAGTCAGAGGTATGTGCGGGAGGGCCTGACAGCTGTCAGCAGTCCCCCGAGAGTGTGGGGGCACCATGGGGTGAGTGGCAGGCATTTCATACCATCTGGGGGAGTCAGAGGGCTGAGGGCATGTCTGTTGGTTCTTAGAGGGAAGGCTGGCACTCCCCTCTGAAAGCCCTTCCCCCCTCTCTCTGCAGAAGATGCTGATGAAGCAGCAGGACCGGCTGGAGGAGCGGGAGCAGGACATTGAGGACCAGCTCTACAAACTGGAGACCGACAAGCGCCTGGTGGAGGTAGCTAAGCTAACGCGCCGTCAGACCAGGGAGGTTTGGGGGCAGAAAATCCTGCTGGTTCCCTCCTGAGAATCGGCTGGTCAGTCATCCAGTCACCTCTCAGGGCTGAGGCCCCCACTGCTGCCAGGGGTGACTGGCCCCTTGCCTCGTCACATTTGGGTAGACCTCCTGCGGGGTTGGGATCCCAGACCCCACCTCGAGCTTGGCCGCCCACCCACACGGCCCCCCTCGCCTGCAGGAGAAGGTGAACCAGCTGAAGGAGGAAGTGCGGCTGCAGTACGAGAAGCTGCACCAGCTGCTGGACGAGGACCTACGGCAGACGGTGGAGGTCCTGGACAAGGCGCAGGCCAAGTTCTGCAGCGAGAATGCAGCGCAGGCGCTGCACCTCGGGGAGCGCATGCAGGAGGCCAAGAAGCTGCTGGGCTCCCTGCAGCTGCTCTTCGACAAGACGGAGGACGTCAGCTTCATGAAGGTGGGCTGGGCCGGGCTCGGGAGAGTTCTCGCTCCCCACAAGGATAGCCACAGCTTCTGTGGAGCGGCGTGCCGGGTTCAGAACCGCGCGGCTCTTTCAGGCTTTGAGGCCTCAGACAGGTCACTCTGTTCCTAATACCTTAGTTCCCAATTTCCAATTTTAAAAAAATCTCTGAAAACTCACGGGGCTGGAATGTGCGGCAGGTCGGGTGCTTCTTCCCTTGTACATGGCCTACCCGGGTTCGATCCCCAGCTTCCCATTTGGTCTCCCGAGCCCACCAGGGGTGATCCCTGAGTGCAGAGCCAGGGGTAATCCCTGAGCATTGTCGGGTGTGATCTCAAAACCCAAAAAGAAAGAAACCTCTGAAAACCTTAAAAAATTGGCAACTCGGGCTGGAGCAATAGCCTAGCGGGTAGGGCATCTGCTTTGCATGCGGCTGACCCGGGTTCGATTCCCAGCATCCCATATGATCCCCTGAACACCGCCAGGAGTAAATTCCTGAGTGCATGAGCCAGGAGTAACCCCTGTGCATCACCAGGTGTGACCCAAAAAGCAAAAAAAAAAAAAAAATTGGCAACTCATGCAATAGTAATTTTGACTTGCGCTGATGTTGGTCATTTCTGAGCTTTATTTCTCTCGCATGGTATAAATATTCAATTTTGCTGCAGAAGCATTGATTGAATATGGTGTCCTGGGGTTGGGAGGCGGCTCAAAGGGCTGAGCACATGCTCTGCGTGCAGGAGGCCTCTGATCCCTAGCACTGCTGCAAGCGACCCCTGAACACCATAGGCTGTGGCTGCGAAATTCAAAATAGGAAATGCTCTCTGACTGGGAGTTCTAGACAATGTTTCTAAAAGCCAAAAGGAAGGGCTTTTCCAGTCGGTAGGGCACTTGCCTTGCATGCTGCCAACCTGGGTTCCATCCCAGAACCCCAGCCTCTGCCAGGGGAGACACCAGCGCATAGAGCCAGGAGTAAGCCCTGAGCACCTCTGAATTAATTTGATTTTTTTTTTTGGTTTGTTTTGGGGCCGTACCTGGCGGTACTCACAAGTACACTTGGTAGCCCTGCCAGGCGGTGCCCAGCCAGTGCACTCAAGCCCTGTTTCTCCCTATCGCAGTACCCCCCAGCAGCGTGTGCTCCCCCAGTATGGTGGCCACATGATGGCAAGGCCAGCACCCTACCCTCTGTACTATTATTCCTGCCCCCAAAAGAAAGGTTTTTAAAAGCCAAAATGACCAGTTCTAAAACACATTTGGCCCTGACAGTTTCAGAGCAAGTATTGAGCGCTGTATGCCACCCCTCCTACCCCTGCCCCCTGCCCAGGACAGCTGTATAGACTGATGGAGGTAGCGAAAATAACTGTTGGGGCTGGAGCAATAGTACAGCGGGGAGGGTATTTGCCTTGCACGCCGCCGGCCCGGGTTCAATCCCCGGCATCCCGTATGATCCCTCAAGCACCGCCAGGAGTAACACCTGAGCATCTCTGGGTGTGACACAAAAAAGAAAAAAAAAACTTGTCTTGTGCTCAATAAATGCTTCTTTTGGGGGCCGGAACAATAGTACAATGAGTTGGGCACTTGCCTTGCATGTGACTAACCTGTGTTTGGTCCCCGGTATCCCATGGTTCCTCGAGTACCAGCAGGTAGTAATTCCTGAGTGCTGAGCATCACCAGGTGTGGCCTCAAAACAATCAGACCGGGGCTGGAGCCATAGCACAGCGGGTAGGGCGTTTGCCTTGCACACGGCCAACCCAGGTTCGATTCCCAGCATCCCATATGGCCCCTGAGCAGAGCCAGGAGTGACCCCTGTGCATCGCCGGGTGTGACCCAAAAAAAGAAAAAAAAAGTGGCATCCTGTCCTTGCCCTCGCCACAGTCTCTTTGGAATCTGGGAAGAGAGAATTTGGGCAGCTTCTGGCTTCCCCTCAGCCCATGGTGCTTCTCCTACTAACGCTTTTCTCTCCTCCTAGAACACCAAGTCTGTGAAAATCCTGATGGACAGGTGAGCTGCCGGCCCCCGCCATCAGGGACCGTGGTTATGGGAGTGCGGGAGGCCCAGGCCCACGGTGGGGGAGGTGGGGCGGCCTCACCGGTGATGCCTCCTCACAGCAGATGCCCCGTCCACTGCCCCCAGGACCCAGACCTGCACGGGCAGCAGCCTTTCTCCCCCTAAGATTGGCCACCTGAACTCCAAACTCTTTCTGAACGAGGTGGCCAAGAAGGAGAAGCACCTGCGGAAGATGCTAGAAGGTGAGGGGTGGTTTTCAATCTAAGCAAAGACCCTTTGCGGGGTAGAGTGGGGTGGGGGGCAGAGCGACAGTACAGAGGGGAGGGCATTTGCCTTGTATGTGACCGACCCAGGTTCAATCCCCAGCCGTCCCATATGGTGTCCTGAGCACTGCCAGGAATAATTCGAGTGCAGAGCCAGAAGTGATCTCTGAGCATCACCAGGTGTGACCCAAAAGGACGAAAAAAAAAAGGCCCATTTGGGCAGGGCTGCAAAGGCCAGAGTATTCTCGCTGAGGGGCTTTATCCTCACCAAATAGACTTTCGCATCTTGCCTTTGCCGCTTACAGCTGTGGGACTCAGGGCAAGCCCAGAGTCCACTCTGCCTCTGCCCATTTCTCCAGCTGTGGATCGGGAATAGCGGTGGTTGGGCGTGGTAGGTGCAAGGAACGGGCAGGGCCCCGGGGGGGAGAGGGCTGGGGGGAATGGGACAGTGAGCTTTGACCGCTTTTGCCCCCACCCTCTCCGCAGGCCCCTTCGGCACACCGGTGCCCTTCCTTCAGAGTGTCCCCTTGTACCCTTGTGGCGTGAGCAGCTCTGGGGCCGAGAAGCGCAAGCACTCGACGGCCTTCCCCGAGGCCAGTTTCCTGGAGACACCTTCGGGCCCAGTGGGCAGCCAGTACGGGGCTCCGGGCCCCGCCAGCGGCGAGGGCCAGTCAGGGCAGCCCCTGGGGCCCTGCAGCTCCACGCAGCACTTGGTGGCCCTGCCGGGCGGTGCCCAGCCAGTGCACTCGAGCCCCGTGTTCCCCCCATCGCAGTACCCCAATGGCTCTGCCCCCCAGCAGCCCATGCTCCCCCAGTATGGCGGCCGCAAGATTCTCGTCTGTTCTGTGGACAACTGTTACTGTTCTTCCGTGGCCAACCACGGCGGCCACCAGCCCTACCCCCGCTCCGGCCACTTCCCCTGGACAGTGCCCTCGCAGGAGTACTCACACCCGCTCCCGCCCGCACCACCCGCCGTCCCCCAGTCCCTTCCTGGCCTGGCGGTCAGAGACTGGCTCGACGCCTCCCAGCAGCCTGGCCACCAGGATTTCTACAGGGTGTATGGGCAGCCGTCCACCAAGCACTACGTGACGAGCTAACGCCGCGCGGGCAGGGGCGCTGGGGAATCTTCCCCCCCGGCCCCCAGTGGCTCGGGGATTATGCATTCAGAGATCTGCCCGGCCCTCTTCTTCCTTCATTCCCCAAGTATTTTCCTTTTGGATTTTATTTTGTTTGGGCCTTTGTTTTGGTTTTAGGGTTTTGGGGGGATTTTTTTTTTTTTTGGTTTTTTTTTTTTTTTTAATGACTCTCCTGGACATGGAGGTGATAGTGGGAGCTGGCCCGGGCCCGGGCCGGGGCCACAGGTGGCCTTGGAGTTGGGAAAGCGTCTACCTCAAGGCGCTGAGCTCTCTTTCTTTCTCTCTCTTTTCTCCTCTCTGCTCTCTCTACGACTTCCTGCTCTCTTTTTTTACTTCCACTCTTCTCCCATGGCTGGAAGGAGCCTCAGTTACCCTCAGGCCTTGGAGGGCGGGTGGGGTCCAGACCTGTGAGGAACACCCGGGCCCTACTGACCTGCTTCTTCTGTTTGGGGCACTTTGATCACTGAGTAAGGAATGACCTGTAGATGGTGGAACTTTTTTTTTAATATTTTTAAACCAAGAATGATTTCTCCTGCTTCCTTCTTCTCACCCTCCTCCCAAATGGAGTTCAAAGGCCACGTCTCAAGCAGCTTTTGGCATCTTCAGCCTCAGAGTGGAATCTTCCAGACAGGAACCCCATGTCCAGGAAAGGGGAAAGGAACTTTGCCAATGATAGTGACCACAGCGAAAGCAAATAATAATAATATTAATAATAATAAAGAGAAATAAAAGAAATAATAAAATAAACAGCATAGCCCTTGTTGAGGTCAGCGGGGGAGGAGGGGTTGCCCCACGCTGGGCCCTTGCCTGGATTTTGGCACAGCAACTTCCTGTAGCGAGCACTTTGTATGAATCGTGGACTTCCTGTCCTAAGGCACAGGTATTTATTCTGTAATCTGTCTAGAGCACACACCGAAATCCAGCCTTCTAATAAACATAATGGCGCAGTCCCACCCTGCCTTGCCTCTTACCCCACTCCCCACTCCTAGGCTTGGGGTCTTCCGGTGGTGGGGAGGGGAGATGCCTCCCCCAGCTCCCCCTTGAAAGCCCTTGCCCTGGGTCTGGCCTGTTCCTGATGCGTGCTGACTCTCAGATACACCATCCACTCAGCACTGGCTTCCAGTATTTGCTGAGGGCCTCCCAGGCCTGGCCCCCTGCTGCCCGGGCCCTGGCATCTCTTTGAGGTTCTGCCAATACGCTCTTAGCTAGGACGAACAAAGGAAGAAATACCTTTCAGTGAGTTTTGCAAAGTTTACTTCCTGCAGTCCACAAATATTTATCGAGCACATGCTAAGTGCCAGGCACTATGCAGAGACACGAACATGGAACAGAGCAGGCCCTGTCCTCTAACTGGGGCTTGGGCCCCATGAGCAGGAGTTAGCCCCAAGCTTCCTTGAGTGACTCAAGGTCTGGCCCCTGCCCCAGAGCACAAAGGAAGGGCCTGGGAAAAACTGCCTTCAGGGTGAGGAGCAAGGGAGAAAGACGTTCTCCCATCCTGACAGCTGCTTAGGACCTTGAAAAGGCTGAATCATGGGTAGGGTGCGTGTCTTGCACCCTGATAAAAGTTCATTCCCAGTACCACATAGGGTCTTTCGAGTCCTGCCAGGAGTCATCCCTGAACATGGAGCCAGGAGTAAGCTCTTAGCACAGCCAGGTATAGCCCCAAAGCCCTGAAAAAGCAAAAAGCTGACTGGAGGCTCTTGTGGGAGAGACTAGGGCTCAGGTCAGATCTAACTCCCCAGCAGTAACACATTCCAGGGTTTGAGAAGTGTTGCTATAGAGACTGGCAGAGCATCCTTGTCACAGGGACCTCTGGAGTGGGAGGGCCTGCCAACACCACGTACATTTGTTGAAGAATCTGTAAACGATTTGTCCTTGAGCCACAGATAGTACAGGGGAGTACATTTGCCTTGCATGCAGCCAAGTCAGGTTCAATCCCCAGAACCGCACGGTCCCCCAACCACAGTGCTAGGAGTAGCCCGGAACCCTGCTGAGGGTGTCCCCAAGCACCCTACCCCAACCTCTTTAAAGCAACCTGTGTCAGGGCTACAGTGATAGCACAGCGGGTAGGGCATTTGCCTTGTACGCGGCCAACCTGGGTTTGATTCCCAGCATCCCATATGGTCCCCCGAGCACCACCAAGAGTGATTCCTGAGTGCAGAACCAGGAGTAACCCCTGAGCATCGCCGGGTGTGACCCAGAAAGCAAAAAATAAAGCAACCTGTGTCCCTTGTAGAAAGACAGGATGGGAACCTGGCTTTTACCCTTGACTGGGTGGGATCAGCCCAAATCCCTCCCACCCGGGCAAACAGAAAGGCAGAGAAGCAGGGTCCAGGAGTCACAGACCCTTAGATGCAGTTACAAGAACCCGGTGGCCAGGGCTATGGATAAGCGAGTGTGGTGCTCAGATTGGTAGGCGGGGTTGTGGTTTGCATGTGTGAGGCTCTGCTGGGTTCCAACCGTCCCTGGCCAGACCAAACCAGTGCCTTGGTCCTGCTAAGTGCCTCAGTCATGCCCTGTGGGAGTAGAAGGGGACGTAGAGTATGTGCGTGTGAGGGAGGCGTCCAGGTGGGGGACCATGAGCCTTGACTCTGCTACCCCCATCCTGACTTGAGCAAGGAGCTGGAGGCGCCTGGGGCCGTGACAGCTGGGCCGCAGCTTCCGCTGCACCTGTCTGGGCTGGAGCTGGGGCAGATGGCTGCTGTCGGCCCCTCCAGCCAGGATGGGACGGTTGCCTGAGACCACTCACATCTGCTCCCTCTCACCGCCCGTCTCTGCCTGTCAGACCCTGGGACGCTTCTGTGCCCAAGTTGGGAGGCCCGACGCTTTCCTTCCCACTTAGCTTTCTTTCATAGCCAATAAGAGGAGGTGTGTGTGTCTGGGGGGGTCTCCCGTGCATTCCACAGACTGGGAGCAGGAGAGAGCTCCAGGGGCTGGATTGGGCCAGAAGAATACTGACCCAATTCCCCAGGCCTCCACCCCACCCCACCCCCAGACAGTGACACACCCCTTCCCCTAGTGTCCTGGGGGTGCAGCCAGGCAAGGAGGGCAACGCTAACCCTATCCAGCTGTCTCCAGACCCCCAGCTGTCCCTGGGTCTGTAGGAGCAGCTGTCACCCACCTCCCCAAAGGGTTAGAGGCCCCGGGCAGCCCGGGCAGCTGCCTCCGCAGGGTCCCCCTGGCACAGGCGTGGAGGAACCTTCCCGCCCTAATGGGGTGCAGGGCGGGGATTGCACACACACACCTTTGCGCCGGTAGGCACACCCCGAGTCGGCCGCCCCCACTTTCCGGGAAGAACTAGGTGTCCAGAGCGAGGCTCCCCCCACGCCCCCCGCCCCCCGTTCCCGGCTTCCAGCTCCTGCAGCCCAGATGTGAAGATCCCTCCGGGAGACGACCGCCACCCCGCCGGCCCCCGCCTTTCAAGTCGCTGCGCCCCTCCCCGGCCAGCCCCCGAGCCGAGCAGCTGCGCCCGCTGCTCCCCGCCCCCGTCTCTCTTCCCAGCTGTCTTTGGGGTGGGGCCGGGCAGCTGGGGAACAGCTGCAAGGCGGGGCGGGGGTGGGTGGGTGCCCCCTGCCACAGCCGGAAACAGTCCCCGCGGCCAGGAGGGGGTGCAGGGGGCGGGAAGGGCGAGGCCTGAGGGATGGTGGGTTCCAAGCGTCCTCCCCGCGCAGCTGGCCCGGCCAGCTGAGAGCCCCCGAGACCCCAGATCAAAGCCCCCTCCCGGCTTCAAAGGGCGCGGCGGGGGGCGGGGATGGGGGCGGCGGGATCCCCCGGAACTAAGGCTCTGCGGCCCAGGCGGCGCCCCGGGCCCCCTCTTGAAACGCAGACCCCGCTTTCTAACCTCCCTCTGGGTTCTTCCAGGTCCCCCTTCCCGGTCGCCCACTCACACCACGTGCCCTTTTCCCAGACACCTTCTTGGGAGGGTTGGGGATGCCGAGGGGGTTCTCTGGACCAGATTTGCGGGTCTGCATCCTGTATGTTGGGGATGGGGCCTGCATGGCCTGCGGTGAGGAAGGTCGTGGTCCTGGGCGTCTGCATTTCAGCCCCTACACTAAAATGATACCTTACTGGACGTTTGCGAAACATCCTGGGAGGCGCTTTAAAAACTGCTCTCCAGGGCTGGAGAGATAGCACAGCGGGTAGGGCGTTTGCCTTGCACGCGGCCGACCCGGGTTCGATTCCCAGCATCCCATATGGTCCCCTGAGCACCGCCAGGAGTGATTCCTGAGTGCAGAGCCAGGAGTAACCCCCTGTGCATCGCCGGGTGTGACCCAAAAAGAAAAAAAAAACAAAAAACTGCTCTCCAGAGCTGGGCTCAGGCCGTAAGGAGTTGGCGGGTAAGTATAGTGGCTAAGGCCTTAGCCTTGCACTCCGCCTGCCTGGGTTTGATCCCCTGCACCCTATGTGGTCCCCTGAGAGCCATCAGTAGTAAGCCCTGACAACCGCTGGATGTGACACTCCCCACCCCAAACCCCAAAGGGAAAAAGAAGAAAGAAACTGATCTCTCTGACAGTCTAAGCCCTGTTTTCATTGTTAAGTGTTACATTTACAAGAAACTGGGGCCAAGAGATTGTACAGCAGGTAAGCCCTAGCCCAAATTTTAAAAAATTAAAATAAAAAAGGAAGGAAAGGAAGGGAGGAAGGAAAGAAACAAGGAAGGGAGGAATGGGATACCTTTTTCATTGTTTTCTGTTTTCTTTTCTTTTTTTTTTTTTTTGCTTTTTGGGTCACACCCAGCAATGCTCAGGGGTTACTCCTGGCTTTGCACTCAGCAATCACTCCTGGTGGTGCTCAGGGGACCATATGGGATACTAGGGATCGAATCCGGGTTGGACGCATGCAAGGCAAACGTCCTACCCACTGTGCTATTGATCCAGCCCCTGTTTTCTGTTTTCGGGGGGGGGGTCCATGCTTGGTGGTGCTCAGGGCTTATTCCTCGTTCTTCAACTCAGGAATCACTCCTGGCAGGGCTCAGGACCTTATGGGGCACAGGGGATCAAACCCTGGCATTCTCTGTGGACCAAATGGGGTTCAAACCTGAGTTGACCTATGGCTCCATCCAAGGAACCGGGTGCAGTCTTGGATAGCCCCTGCCCTAGACCAACAAAAGCAGGGCTCAC